TTCGTCGCGCTGTGATGACGTCACATACGCGCTTTCGTCGACCGCGATTTTGTTGTCCGCGGTTTTGTGGTGGAACCGAAAACAGAGCTCGGGAGGGCCATGCAGAGGCTGATCCTTTGCTGTTCCCAGGGTGGGCCAGATCTAAGCACCCTGCAGGCCTGATGCCATCCGCAGGCCTTGAGTTTGACACCCCTGGTGTATGCCCTTGCTTCAATCCACTAACTGCAACAAAGCAGCTATTTTGCTCTGCTGTTTAGAAGCTAGAGTCCTGTTGCTCAGCTTCAAAGGAGTGCTTTGTCCAAAGTAAAGTATTCTGTTGGAGATTTGGACAACCCTTCACCTCCTTCCCACTCCTGCCAGTTTTTCCTCTGTGCTCAACCTCCATCAATAATCAGTTTGCCAAGTGTGCTAAACTTGGTCCTGAATCCCACTCTCTTTTGAAGGGGGAAAAAAAAGACCACAGTGAAACAGGCTTTCCATTCAATTTAAAGCTTATTCTGAATAAAACCCTCTTTCTTTGTATTTCAAGGCTTTTCAAATAATATTTTTTTAAAGATAATATTCCTTCTGAACTCTAACACACATACACAAACACAAAAAGCTGCAGACTATATTTAGAGGAAGGTTATCTGTGGGATTGACTCTGAACAGAACTGGACCATTAATCTTGCTCACGGTGAGAAAAATGTATTGCTTTTTGCAGGAATTTTGGTGGGAAGCATGAAGCCTCTTCAAAGAACAACGCAAAGGAACACAAGTAAGACCATTTTTCTTCTTTTCTAAAAGTGCATTTGCTGATTTCATTCACTCCATTAAGCTTTTTTGGGGGAGGAGGAAGGATGGAATAATGCCAAGAGAATAAAACATTTTAATATGGTAATGCAAAATATTAAATAGTCCTCATACAGATGCCTGAAGAGGTTGGCTTCTGCTTAAAATATCAACCCATTCTTTAGAAAATACTCTTACCCTTTGAATCATAGCCTTTGGACTAATTATCTACCGCATCTTCCTCTTTTCCCTGGAAACAGTTGCCTGCGTGTCCTCATGTAACCATTCAGTATGTCAATCATTTCCCTTATCTACTTCAGGACGAGGCTTACAAAATCCTAATCATAAGACCACTTTGTTAGATCACTGAGTCCAACCATTGGTTTGCAAAAGCAATAGCTTGACTCCCCTCTGAGAAATTGTTCGGTTCCTGAAGTATTCTTATCACGAAGCAGTCTTTTTTTCCCCAATGTACAAAATATGTCCTCTTGTAACTTAAAAATCTAGTTCTGCAGAAAATCACACAGGATCCTTTTTCAACAAGATCCTTCCCCAGAACTCAGAGTGCTACCATGCAGAGGTGAAATTAGCAGTTAGCAATAGCAATAGCAGTTAGACTTATATACCGCTTCATAGGGCTTTCAGCCCTCTCTAAGCGGTTTACAGAGTCAGCATATCGCCC